AGGGGCTGGGGAATTGAACTCGGCTCGGCTGGGCCGGCTGTGTGCAAGGCAAACGCCCTACCACTGTGCTGTAGCTCCAGCCCATTTCATAGTTTAATTTGTATTAGTGTTTTAACTCCCGTGTTTATTTAAAAGTATTTAATTTTCTCGTATAATTGTGAATGGTATTTTTTCATTTCTCTTCGATTTCATTTTTTATGTAGAGAAATGCCATTTATTTTGGCAAATTGATTTTTTAACATGTCACCATTTGATTAGGGGGCTGGACTCTCAGTCCATCATGTCAGTGTATGAAGAGGAGAGAGTGGATGGAGTTTGAAGCACTTGCAAGGGCCTTGGGTTTAAGCAGTCATAACCTATGACTATGTGATAGAGCCTCTGTAAACAGCCCCCTCTCCCCAAGGCCAGAATTCTTAGAACTTCTGAATTGGTGAACACTCCAAAATCTCCAAGGGGCATGGAAAGATGGGCAGTCAGCTCACTTTCACAATACCTTGCTAGGCACCATGTCCATGTGTCTGCTCCTTAGTTTTGTTTTTAGCATAAATCAGTAAACTAGAAAGTAAAATGTTTCTCCGAGTTATGCATTTGTCCTTTTAAATCCAAAGAACCCAAGGATAGAATTACAGAAACTTCTGCTTTCTAGTCAAATGTTCTAAAGTATAGATACTGAAATTCAAAGAGATGATAGATCCCCAATTTATATGGACAATTTTTTAGATTTTTACATCATAACCAGAACTGTAGCAGTTATCGAAGGTGGAGAATAGCTTCTTGGAGTGGGCAAGGGTTGGGGGAAGGAGCAAGGACGGGACTGAGCCTTCATCATGGAGCTTGATGCTTTCATTCCTCAGATCATGTTACTGCTTGTGTCTGAGAATTGCTCATTGTGGTGTTGGGGAATCACCTCCACGTGAGGTTTGGATCTAGGATCACAAGATACCACCCTCCCTCTTTGGAGAGGAGAATATTAATTTAGTGGAGAAACAGGGCTGTGTGTTCCTCGCCAAAATTCCAAACTTTGGAGATGTGTGGTACCTAAGCATGTCAGTTACTCAGTTGTATGTTTGTGGAACATAGAAACTCAAAATTAGGTTAAATTACAAGGAGATTAGACCTCCTGAAGGTAGATAAGTTTGCTATAGACAATACTACAAATGGCTTCATCTGATTTCTAACCACATTTTCTGACAGAGTAATCAAGGTAATTTTCCCTTTGTTTTCCAGACCAGAGTCCCCAGGGAAATAAGTTCTGAAGTATCCTACTAATAAACAAGCAGGAAGCTTTAAGTATCTGCTTTGCTGCAGTCCCTAGGTGACTGGACACACGTGATCTTATCTTAGAGATTGAAATTGAGTTGGCGGATCAATGCTTGACTACCACCTGCTGTAGAGCTCTTCTTCCCATCGTCACTAGTCACACAGAATTTGGACTTCCACAGAGAACCATTTCTCTCAGAGACTACATTCAGGTGATTAAAAACCCCCAGCAATTCAGGAAAGGTTCACAGAGAAAGGGAGTCAAGAGCTTTTACCTAATCTCCCCTAAGCTAAACTGCCTAGTTCAGTGCTGAGATATTGTCATACTTATTTGTATAGTTGACTAATTTATAGTAAAAGTAGTTTTTGTAGTTTTAGAGGTGGCAGATGGACTTAACTATGAAAGGAACATTGTAGGAATTAAGAGATGGAACTGGAAATCAAATTGGATGAGTCTGAGGTAAGAATCAAGATATAAAATAGTTCCAATAAATTTAGAACATTTTATACAAAGTCTGTAGTTAGGATGAGTAGAAAAACAACATTAGATTGCATTAGATTGGAGTCAATTGCAATTAATGAATGCATTTAAAATAAATTATGATATGCATTTGAGCATTATCGCATTTATTAGAAATCCTGGATGATGGAGGTTAATACTACTTTGCAACAGCAGTTCTTGAAATATGCCATTATCTTGTTTCAGAAAATCACACAGAAAACCCATGTTTAACATGTAGATTTGCTAATCAGCTTCGCTTGCAATTATTTCACTATCAAAAGACTAGGAAACAATAGAGAATTCTGATTGGAGGAAGAAAAAAATAAGCTAATATCTTAGCAGCTAATGTTATTCGTCGATTGCCTCGAGCAGGTCCCAGTAACGTCTCTTTCATCCTAGCCCTGAGATTATATTCAAGGCTCTTTAGGAGAATGAGACCCATCATTGTTACTGGTATTTGGCGTATTTGGTACGCCACGGGAAGTTTGCCAGACTCTGCCCTGTGGGCAGGCTACATTAGATAGCCTGCAAGTTTGTCCAAAGTAGGAATGAGACAATAAGATGTCATAAAAAAAAAGTTCTGATAAGATGTCGCGCGGCCGCGAATGCGGCTAATGATCACTTACTAATTGAAAGTTACTATTCTAATTTTTTCATTTGTCATTCAAATCTGTCTACCATCTTAGAAGAATATTCCATTAACTCCACGATTTAGTTGAAAATATGAATATTTAGGAGAATCTGTTGTCTTTTCTCTTTATTTCGATTTTCTTCAATTTTATTAAAGCACCATGATTTACAAAGCTATTCATAGTTGAGCTTTAGACATGCAGTGTTCCAGCACCAATCGAACCTCCACGCAACTTTCCTCCACTAGTGCTCCTGGGTTCCTCTGCCCTCCAACACAATACCCAGTCTGCCATCAGGAGAGGCACATTTTTTAAGTTAAGTTGTTGAAGTTCAGATTTCTTGTTTTCAGTGTTGTTGACTCCATGGTTTGGATAGTTAGCTCTGCAACTCCTTTGTACCACCAGCGTATCTGAATCCCCTTGTTCTCTGTTCCTTCCTGTCTTTTTCTTCTCCTCCACACCCCCACCAAGATTTCTTTACTTCTGTTGTCTCTTCTAATTCAAGCAACTAATAATCTCTGAGATTCAGACTTGACTTTCCACTTCTATACATTTTTGCATTTAAAATCATTTTAAAAAGTACTTTCCAATTTTATCTTTAAAAATACCCCCAATCATTGTACATTATATTTTTATTTAAAAATGTTTTTATTTCTTCAGCATACATTAAAAATGGGAGATTTTATCAGTAACATGTTTACATGATAAGTTTTTCATTATTTCACCTTTGGATTCATTGTTTGGATTTTGATTAGTTACCTGCATCATTGAGAACCTGTTGAGATGGAATGTGGCCAGACCAGAGCTAAGGAGGATGCCTCTCTTCGCAGGATCTCAAGGCCATCCTAATTTATTAGACATTGTGGATCAGCACTCTTTCTTTTCTCTCGTCCTTTTGAACTGTATTTGTTCAGTCCCTGAACAAAACATCTCCAGAGATTTGGAGATCTCTGTTTAAAAGTCACCTGTTAGATTGGGAAATGTTTAAGGGACACTGCAAATATAATTTGTAAACTGGTTATGCATCTGTGAAGATAAACATAGTTGATATTTGACAACATGTACCCTATTGTGATGGCTGGGTTGAGGAAAGTATGATCAGAATTGAGTCTAGGAGGAGTGTGCGTGTGAGAGAAAGGGGAGTGGGTAGGAAGGAGAAGGGTGTTGGGGGAAGAAAGAGAAAGAAAGAAAAAGATTTTATTTTGATGAGGTTTGAACCCCATAGTTCTAGATCCTTTATACCTCAGCTTATACCTTTCCTTTTTGAGGAAAAATGTGACTCAGAAAATATAGTCACTAAGAGTTTTCTACTTGCATTACATCTTGGGATCAATTCAGAGGTCTCCAGAGCTCACAAGCTATGCCCTATGTCTTCCAGCTCAGCTGCAGTGAGCAGGCACTGTTTCCTTCACTTCCCAACAAATCTCATATCATTCTCCCTCTGGCTCCTTCCCAAGGCTTCACTCATAGATCTGAATATCTACAATGTGTCTTCACAGGGCATTTGAATTGATTCTTCCCACTCAGACTCATACTTTCCCTGAGAAAGTGCCCACTCCTGCTCAGGCTTATTGGAGAGCTCAGTTAAAGTGCTTCACCTTGTCTGCACATCTTTATGAATTTCCAGTAAAAGCAAATAAAACCTTCGGAGGATCATACCTTCCTTCTTTCCTTCCTAGTCCTAGCTAAGGTTAGGGTCACCCTACCTTTTGACAATAAAAGGTAAAGGTAAAGGCCCTCCCGTTGATCGTCGATTTGCTCGAGCGGGCCCAGTAACGTCTCCATTGGAGACTTTGTTGTTACTGTGTCTGGCATATCGAATACTCTCGGTAGCTTGCCGGGCTCTCCGAGAGGGGCGGAGGAATCGAACTCGGGTCGGCCATGTTGGCTGCGTGTGTAAGGCAAACGCCCTACCCACTGTGGTATCTGAAATTGTATGAGGTTTTATTTGTTTGATATGGGGGCAACACCTGGCTCTACACTCAATAACTACTCCTTGTAGGGCTAGGAGACAATATAGGATACCAGGAATCAAACCTCACTTAGTTTAAAGGCAAGCACCATACCTGCTGTACTATCTCTCGATCCCCTCAAATTTTATCTTTGTTGTGTTCTTTCTCCATAATAGCTGTCAGATTTTCTGCACTCCTTGCTTGATGATGATAGTTCTCAACACATATTCCCCAAACATAAGAAAGTCTCATCAAAATCCTGATTTCATATTGATGAAAATATTTAAAATGGCAAAGGAATTTTTAATCATAAAAATCAGAGACACTTCTGAAATAGGAATAGATATTTAAAATATATGTTTGTCCAGAGTGATAGTATAGCAGGTGGGGCACTTGCTTTGCACATAGCTGACTCTGGTTTGACCCCCCCAGGATCCTATATGGTCTCCCAAGCCCTGCCATGAAGAATCCCTGAATAGAGAATCAGGAGTGAGCCCTGAGCCCTGAGCACTGCTGAGTGTGACCCAAAAACAAAAAAAAATTGTTTATATAAATTCTTCATTGTAAAATAGAAAAGGCTAAATTTTATGCTACTTACAATGTCCATTTGGGTGAATAATAATCTTTTCTTTTCATTCCTAGTCATAACCATCAAATATGATACCACATAATCATACACAAATTATAAAATTTTATCTTCTGGGATTATCAGAGAAATCAGAACTGCAGCCCTTTATATTTGGACTTTTCCTTTCCATGTACTTGATCATTCTGTTTGGAAACCTGCTCATTATTCTGGTTGTTATAGCAGACTCCCACCTCCACACACCCATGTACTTCTTCCTCTCTAATCTGTCTTTTGTGGACATCTGTTTCACCTCAACCACCATCCCAAAGATGCTGATGAACATCCAGAAACAGAACAAAGTCATCACCTATGCAAGTTGTTTCGCCCAGATGTACTTTTTTCTTCTCTTTGCATATTTGGATGACTGTCTCCTGACAGTGATGGCCTATGACCGCTTTGTGGCCATCTGTCACCCCTTGCACTACATGGTCATCATAAACCCCCTGCTTTGTGGAAGGCTAGTTTTGATGTCCTGGATCTTTGGTATTGCAATGTCCTTGTTCCACAGCTTTATGGTGCTGCAGCTGTCCTTCTGTACAGACATTAAAATCCCCCATTTTTTCTGTGAATTCAATCAGGTAGTCCACCATGCCTGTTCTGACACTTTTCTTAATGACTTGGTAATATATGTTACAGCTGGAGTTGTGGGTGGTATTCCCCTCTCAGGGATCATTTATTCTTACTCTAAGATTGTCTCCTCCATATGTAGAATCTCATCATCACAGGGGAAATATAAAGCATTTTCTACCTGTGCATCTCACCTCTTAGTGGTCTCCTTATTTTATCTTACAATCCTTGGTGTGTACCTGAGCTCTGCTGCTTCCCAAAACTCATACTCAAGTGGAACTGCCTCGGTGATGTACGCAGTGGTCATACCCATGCTGAACCCCTTCATCTATAGTCTGAGGAACAAAGACATAAAAGGAGCTTTGAAAAGACTCTTGGAAATGGCAGTTATGATGGTGCCAAATTTCAAGGCTCTTAAAAAGTGTTGGTGATTTGCAGAACTGAAATTTTCAGAATTCACAATCTATATTTTTGATTACTATAAAAGTAGAATTTGTTCTTCAGTTTCTTGAGTATTTCATTTCATGGGGTTGACTTCTCGACAATAACTACCTCGCTTTGTTGTTTTCTTCTGAGATACAAATTTTCAGTGGTCTAATTTCTTATTGTTTGAATGTCTTTCCATTCATGATCCAGAAATATTTGGACTTCCCATTTATTTTTAAATCAATTTCTTTTAAAATCGGACACTCAGGCCAAGCCTCATGCATGAATGAAGCCCCACAGAATCCAGACAATACGGAACTTGGACTTTGTGACCTTGGACTCTGGACTCAATGGGACCCTGGAACAGAAATTCTCCACCTTCCTCCCCCAGTCCCCTGTGACTCAGGGATCACACCCATAAGCCACACCCTGCTAGTACCAGATAATCTCATTGGCCACCCTCCAGAACTCAGGATGCTCCTCCCAGACGGGAGTATAAAATAAGGCCCCCAGAACCATGCCACCGAACTCTGCACCAGGCTGTGGGGCGGGTGAGAGCCCTCCTCACCCCAAGGGACCCAGCCCCAGCGGCCGACCTCCACTACCCAACCACTGCCATGCTCTGGGCTTCTTTCTGGACCGCTCAACCACTTCGAGTCTGCGCGACACATTATAAGACTCTTCCTACCCATTTCCCACAATTACTACACCATATCTGATGGGATTCAGAAAGTAGGCAACAAATCTTAGAGAAAAATATACAAATATATGCCTCTCAGAGAGCCCAGCAAGCTACTGAGAGTATCTCTCCTGCATGGGCAGAGCCTGGCAAGCTCCCTGTGGCGTATTTGAATATGCCAAATACAGTAACGACAACAGGTCTCATTCCCCTGACCCTGAAAAGACGAGTAAGAAGAGGCTGCTAAAATTTCAGGGCTGGCATCCACTCAAGTAATTCAACGATCAACAGGATGACAGTGATACAGTGATATATTATTCTGGTGATAGTGTTTACAATAGTGTTCAAGGTTCTGAAAACTGATGTAAAAACCGCTGCTCACCCTTGCCTTTAATGTCCACCCTTATGTAGACTCCTTTAGTGAACAGATAGGTACCTTATGGATGATTGCTACTCAAATGACATAGCACTGTAGCACTGTCCTCTTGTTGTTCATTGATTTGCTCAAGCGGGCACCAGTAACGTCTCCATTGTGAGACTTGTTACTGTTTTTGGCATATCGAATATGTCATGGTTAGCTTTCCAGGCTTTGCCATGTGGGCGCTATACTCTTGATAGCTTGCCGGGCTCTCCAAGAGGGGCAGAGGAATCGAACCGGGGTAGGCCCAGGTCAGCTGCTTGCAAGGCAAGCACCCTACCTGTTGTGCTATCTTTCCAGCCCACTCAAATGACATACCTTTCAAATTACCTTCTTTGATTTTGCTGATTGCTAAATGATAATATGGAAGAAATGAAATCATTCATATACCTTTGTTAGTTTTGTACCACTCCCAGTGATGCTCAGGGGTTACTCCTGGCTCTACAGCCAGGAATTACTTTTGGTGGTGCTTGGGGATCATATGGGATGCAGGGAATGCAACCAGGTTTGGCTGTGTGCAAGGCAACTGCCCTACCAGCTGAACTATCTTTTCTGCCACATATTTTATATTGCAGAATAAAATCTGTACCACAGTTTTAATTTAAGCATGACTTATTTTTCTGTTTCAATGACTTAATGGAATAACTGGACATCATAGAATTTATGCTTCTGTGTTATACAATGGCTATCCTGTTTTTATTCTATTATTCAGCTTGACTTCCATAAACTCTACCATAGTCATGATGAAAATTGATCAGACATATATTTTTATTTTATAAGATAGTTGATAAGAAATAGTTCAGAGGCTATGGTTTAGTTAAAATTAGATACCTTGCTATAGCCATGCCAGTGGACTCTGCACCAGGCTGTTTCACTCGGGGCTCCCCAGAGTGGTGAGAGTGAGAGCTCTCCCCACCCCAAGGGACCCAGCCCTGGCAGCTGAAAACTTCCAGAACCCAACCGTCGCTCAAGGCCGCTCCTCACACGCTCGGGTGAGCCTCACATACGAGTGAACAAGTGAACGTATTTCTGGACCACGTGACTGTTGATGCACATCATAAGACATTCTGTACCTATTCTCCATAAGTAACACATCACATTTGATGGGGTTAAAATGGTAGAAAACCAATCTTAGAGGGAAATATATATATACACATATACATATTTTTAGATATATATGAAAGCTCACATCACTCAACCTTTAACAGCATGTTAGCGATATCCTAAAAAATGTCTTAATGGCCCCTGCCAAAATAGAACAATCTTCATGCTGTTTCCTCTATGGATATTTTTTGTAGCATTTTCAGTGGTTTTTTATAACAGACAATACGAAATATATTATTTCAGTTGTGCTTTGAGACAGGGCTTGGCGCTTGGGATGGAAACATCCCAAATTTAGTGGTGGGAAGGTGTAATGGTGGTGGGATTGGTATTTGAATATTGAATGTAATGGAATATTTAATGTAATTATTAAATGTAAATCAAATATTGTGAACTACCTTATAAAATAAAAAAATTAAAAATTAGATACCTAGCACCACATAGTCCCCTGGGCATTATTGAGTACAGCCCTGGAGGCCCCCAAGCACCACCAGATGTGGCCTGGAGGCTCCCTAAAGGCCCCAAGCACTGTGAGGGTGGACAGGGTAACCTCCAGCACCATAAGACTTGGAAACACCATGTTGTCAGGCTCCTGCATTGAACTACTGACCTATTTAGTGAGAAACACCAGTGGAGTCCCCAGACTTCCCAAGGACCAGTTAGGATACGCCAATAACTATTTAATCTCAGAAAGAAAAATATACATAAGATTTTTAAAATGATTATTCTTGTGGATATTTAATCATGGTGAAAGATAGAAAAGTCAGGGTTACAAGTAAAATCTTTATCCCTAGCTTGCATTTCCATTTATTTTAAAAGAAATAACATTAGCTTACATGACTAGTTTAGAGTTGTGATTTCAAGTCTCTACAGTCTATGTATTACAATACCACAATCGTTACCATAGTATCAATATCCATCCACCTCAGTCCATGGGACCTTGGACCTTTCCTGATAGACTTTGTCATATGACTAGGAGTCTGTGGCCTGTGTGGTTGGCTTGGCCTCAGCCATGCTGCCCACGCGAGTCTTAAGCATACATTGTCCCTGACTCGAGGAATAGTCCTTCATTTCTAGGGGTCCCCATAGTTACTGGATAACTACATCCATGATTTTATAGCAAAGGAATACCCTTCTCTCTGTCATTGAGAACTAAATTTGAGTTTTCTAGAGAGATTAGTAATTGTTCCTACCAGCTTAACCACATGCTGATGGCTAAGAGCTGCATGAGATCTAATTAAGGTTAGAAAAAATCTAGAAAAAATATTACTGAAACTTGGAATAAGCTGTAAGGAGGTTAGAATTTTAAAAGACAGATGAGGTTATGGATAAAAAATATTAAAAATAAATCCAGGTTCTCAGAACCAGTGACTGCAAACTCCAGGCCTCAAGGGCTTTGGGACTAGCCAGTCCTTCACATCTCCCCACCCCTTTGGAGTCCTGGCTGTCACACCATGAGCTGTCATTTAAGTGCATTAACGGCCATGATCTAAAGGCTCACAAATGAATCTTGGAATCTAACAGATCGCTGCAGAGATGTCTCAGGACCTAACTATCTAAAATTATAGAATTCCAGGGGCTGGAGCCATAGGACAGTGGGTAGGGAGTTTGCCTTACACGCGACCGACCTGGGTTCAATTCCCAGCATCCCATATGGTCCCCCGAGTACCGCCAGGAGTAATTCCTGAGTGAAGAGCCAGGATTAACCCCTGTGCATAGCCGGGTGTGACCCCAAAAGGAAAATAAAATAAAATAGCACTGTAGCACTGTCCTCCCGTTATTCATCGATTTGTTCCAGCGGGCCCAGTAATGTCTCCATCATGAGACTTGTTGTTACTGTGTTTGGCATATCAAATATATCATGGGTAGCTTGCCAGGCTTTGCTGTGTGGGCGAGATACTCTTAGTAGCTTGCCAGGCTCTCTGAGAAGGGCGGAGGAATCGAACTCAGGTCGGTCACATGGGCCGCGTGCAAGGCAAATGCCCTACCCGCTGTGCTATCGCTCCAGCCCCCAAATTATAGAGTTCCAGGAGTGCACTGTCACTTTCTCAGCCATAAGACACCTCATGCTGTTCATAACATGCAATACAAAATAAATCATCTAGCATCTGCCTGTTGGCAGGCTTGAGTGGTGGGGGAAATATTTGAAATAATGGTGGTGGGAAGGTGTAATGGTGGTGGGATTGGTGTTGAAATATTGAATGTAATCCATTATTATTATTATGGTACAAGCGCGAAAGATCAAGTACGACATCATTGGTCTGACCGAAACGAGAAGACATCAATCCCATCATGCTGTTTTCGACACTGGAGAAGAACTGTTCCTTGGAACATGTGATAAAAGAGGCGTCGGTGGTGTCGGTATCCTTGTCAACACAAACTTAGTCACGAGCATTGATTCATTCGAATGCCTAACAACCCGAATCGGACGATTACACTTGAATAAATGTGGCTCACTACCGGCAATTTCTATCTTTGTTGTCTATGCACCAACATCCAGTTATGGTGAAAGAGAAACTGAGAAATTCTACATGGAGCTGGAGAAGTTCTATAAAGAAGATCACACCTTCTACAAGATCATTGTCGGTGATTTTAATGCCAAGATAGGACCAAGAAGATCAGTTGATGAACTCCACATCGGAACCCATGGCCTGGAATGGAACGAACAGGGTGACAGACTGTCTGAGTTCATCATGTCAACCAAAACCTTCCATTTTCATCGTCGATTGCCTCGAGCAGGCCCCAGTAACGTCTCTTTCATCCTAGCCCTGAGATTATATTCACGGCTCTTTAGGAGAATGAGACCC